CACACACACACACACACACACACACACACTCACACACGCATACACACACATACACAGGTACACAAATCCGCCATACCTATCGTCACAAAAAGGCCTGTCTCCCTCTCCCAGGATCCTGAGTCGCTCTAGGTGTCCGACACCTGACTTGGAGGCTGCGCCCGACCAATCCATTCCGCTACAGGTGATGACGGTATCTTGTTAAAAACTAGAATCATTTTTAAAAAATCCTATCCTTTTATCCCTCCTATTGACCTGTGTTTGGGAGCTCCAGTGGTTTACCCTCAAAAGTAATGTCGAGCAAGTGTCAGTGACATGGGGTTAAGGGGGGTTGTCACTGGGGTGTGTCCTTCATCAAGGCATGACAACACCATCAATGCCATGTTTGTGAAATTCTTCTGTATTGGTGTAATATTGCGTATTTATGTATGTATTTGCATATGTTTGTATTTCTAATAATGTGTTCATGCATGTATTTCCAATAATGTATCATGTTTGTACGTTTGTCGACAAGGGAATCAATGCAATTTAATTTAGTACATTTATATATTATTATAATTTATTTATTTTCATTATACTGTCAGTTTAGTCACCACTTTGTATATCTACACCTGTGAATTTTTAGACATTAAATATTGTTTGCTATATCTATACCTGTGAATTGATATACAATAAATATGGTGTGTTATATTATTACCTCTGAATTTCGAGACACTGAGTATTGTGTGGTACATGTATATAAGAGACCTCTGCCCCTGACCTACCCCAAGTTTGAGCGTGTTCTGGTTCATTGTTTCCATTTCAGCTGTTCTTCTAAGACTGTTTACTTCCTTGTACGTCGACAACTTGATTATATAGAAGCAAATCCAGTCAATTTCTCTGTGAAATGAAACATCTTTTTCCCCAGACCGACTTCATGGATGACACTCAAGAGTCCGAGTTCGAGTCCAGCCGTTTCTTGATCACGTCCTCAACAATGGCCAAATTCTCCAACCAGAAATCTCCACGATCAGGGGACACAGTGGTCTATGTGGCCGGCGCTTTCGACATTTTTCGTATCCTTTTCTGCACTTCTTGAATCAAAGCCAGCTCAATCAAATACGCCGTTTTTATAGTCCAAGCTTGCTTTAACAATCATCATCATTCAGTGCCAGATCAGCGACAGACATCGGCCATCATGGTTATCCACCCATTCCTTTGCTCGGATGCTACGTTTTCCTGATATTTTCCCGTTACCCATTCGTTTAGGTTCCCTAAGTAGCTGGATGTTCAAGACCTTTATGCCTATTTAGGTGTCCCCAAAACTGCATTTGTCGTTCCCTGATTGTTTTTCCTGATTGTTTTTAACACACGTGGGCCTCTGCAAGCACTAACAAAACGCCTTTTTAAAAGTCAAATCTCCCGCTCACAATGCGCCCGTTTTTTGCATCAAAATCCCCCCC